TGTGGGCAGTTTTCCTTTTCATGGGCAGATGAAGAGAAGTAGGTGTACTGGGTCAGGAGACTCCCTTTTGCTGAGCCAGCATGGCATGAATTACACTTGTGCTTGGACACCCAAGCAGCCACATGGGGGAGGCACCTCTGCAGATGGCCCCTGGGAGGGGAACTATGGCTGGAGTCACTTCAGTAGAGGCTTGGCTCCCAACCACATGGAGGTGGAGGTTGCCCAGGAGTTGCCCAGGCCAAGGGGCTTCTCAGGAGAGACTGAGTTACTGCAGGGTAACTTCAGGCAGAACTAGGCTCTAATCACCGTTATTGGTAATGACCCGCTGCTTCTAGCCTAGGAACAGAACTCTGAGAGGGCCGGGACCCTGACTACAGTGCTGGAGCATATGCGGACACTCTGTTGCCTTTGTCTGCAATGTAATGTGGATATGATGAAGGAAATCACCGTTCCTTGTCCAGACCCAACCTTGCTGCATCTCAGGCTTGTTCTTAATGGACAGCCCCATGCCTGCTGCACTGTTAGGGAACTGAAGACTGGGGGAGCGACAGGTGCACTCAGCTACGTCTGCTCATCTTGTCCACAGGGAGCTGGAGGAGCAGCATGGCATCCACTGCAACATGACACTGCTTTTCTCCTTCGCCCAGGCTGTGGCCTGCGCTGAAGCAGGTGTGACGCTCATCTCTCCCTTTGTGGGCCGCATCCTTGACTGGCACGTGGCAAACACAGACAAGAAATCCTATGAACCTCAGGAGGACCCTGGTGAGTTACCTTTTAGGATCATGGGGCAGGGGAACTCCTGTGTCGAAGACCAGGTCTGGGGACCAGGTCAGGCTGGGGTCAGACAGCAGCTCAGGGTGGCTCCAGGGCCACCATGGAACATGCCTAGGTCTCTTCCAGGGGTAAGGAGTGTCACCAAAATCTACAACTACTACAAGAAGTTTGGCTACAAGACCATTGTCATGGGCGCCTCCTTCCGTAACACGGGTGAAATCAAAGCACTGACAGGCTGCGATTTCCTCACCATCTCACCCAAGCTCCTAGGGGAGCTGCTCAAGGATAACACCAAGCTGGCGCCTGTGCTTTCTGTCAAAGCGGGTAAGGTCACGGGGCCCGATAAAGACCCTGTGTGGGTGGAGCTAAGGCCTGACCCTGAAGGGAGATAATCAACCTAAGACTGAGGGACAACTATGAGTCTAAGGGTAAGGCAGGCGTGGAGAAAAGTGGTATCCCCCAGCCCAGACCAGTGACTTGGAGAAGATACATCTGGACGAAAAGGACTTCCGTTGGCTGCACAATGAGGACCAAATGGCTGTGGAGAAGCTCTCCGATGGGATCCGAAAATTTGCTGCTGATGCCATAAAGCTAGAGCGGATGCTCACGGTGAGTTCCTGTGTGGGCAGCTTGGGCCTTTTCTCCTAAACCTGGGGGAAGTTTGTTCAGAGGTGGCACATACCTATAGTCCCATCGCTTTGGAGAGAGAGGCAAGAGGATCACAATCAATAGCCTAGGCCAGGGAAGCTAATACATGCCTTTAGTCTAAGCGCTTAAGAGGCAGAGACCCTGGGATCTTGGTGGGTCTTGGCCCAGACCCTCTCATGACTCTAGCTCTGGTCATTTCTAGGAACGAATGTTCAGCGCCGAGAACGGAAAGTAGTGCAGCACCTGAGGCTGGACCCCAGAGCTGCACTGCCTTGGAGCTGGGTCCTGATTGCACATGGCTTGTGACGAACAAATCTTGCATTTTTTTAGTGATTGAAGAAGGGATGGATCATGGTTTCTGATTTTATGTGAAATTTTGTCTAATTCATTAAAGCAGTTGCTTTTCCTATGCTGTGTCTCATTTCACCATCTTTGTCACCTCCACCTAAGTACCAGTTGCCCAGTTTTGGCTGTAACTAAGGCTGAAACTTGGAGGAGAACCCCAGAACATCAGCATGATCTAGGTGATTATGGCCCTCACCTCAAGCCCTGCCGGACCACAACTGGGACATGAGATGGCAGAGGCCTTTGATTTTGGTAGTGAGACTCTATCCAGCTACTCCCTCTGCACCTGGCGCCCCAGTGCCCTGCCTGCTCTTATAGGGTGCACTAGCAGAGCTGGAAGACAAATAGTGGGCTCTGCTCCTGGTGGGCAGCTACTGAACATAAGTGCTACAGAACCAGGCCTTCCCACTGCCTAAGAAAGTAAGTCCAGCAGTTTTATCTCTCCCATCCAGATGCTCCGCCAGATATAGCCAGGTTCTAAAGGACACTGGCACTACCTTAGAGGGACAGCATTGTCTATGACACCAGCTTTGAAAGGGCATGGAACCATACACATGCCTATAATCCCAGTACTGTCCACAGACTGTACTGAAGACAGACTGTCCACAGCTGAGGACAAGCAGGGCTACACTGGAAATCCTGTCTTTAAAAAAAACAATAAAACAAATAAGGGGGCTGATGGCTCAGTGATTAAAAGTACTGGCTGCTCTTCCAGAGGACCCAGGTTCAATTCTCCGCACCCACAGCGCAGCTTGTTACTGTGACTCCAGTTCCAGGGAATCTGGCACCTTCACATAGACTTACATACATGCAACACAACAAATGTACATAAAAATAAATTCTCAAAAATAAGGAAGACACTAATGATGCACGCTTTAATCCAAGCACTTAGGAGGCAGAAGCACATAGATCTCTGAGTTCAAGGCCAGCTTGGTCTGCAGAGTGAGTTCAGGACAGCCAGGGCTACAAAGGGAAACCCTGTCTTGAAAAATCAATAAAATAAAAATTTAAAAGCTGGGTGTGGTAGCACATTCCTTTAATCTCAGTATTCTTGGAGGAAGAGGCAGGTGGAAGAGTTTGAGGCCAGCCTGGCCTGTGGAGTGAGTTCCAAGAGTGCCAAGGCTGTTAAACAGGAAAGCCCTGTATGGAAAAACAAAAGGGGACATGGTGGGACAGGAGATAGGGCAGGTGACTCTGAGTCCAAGGCCAACCAGGGTTACACAGTAAGAAATGAAATCCTGTCTTAAAATAATTAAAAAAACAACTGAGCAATCCAGGTTAGAATAGGTACTAATTGGCATCACTGAGTAGCCTGTGTTTTCCTAGCACTTAGGTGAGGCCACACTGAGGGAACAGGTACAGCAGGAAGGGTTAGGCTGGTCAACAAAACAAGACCACCCTGGGCCTGCCTAGGGCTAGTGCTGCCCTTCTCTGCAGAGCATGGGCTCCTGAAGCCTATGATCTGCCTCTCAGAAGCATTAAGCTCTGATGAGAAAGACCCCACGGACCCCTATTGGAGGAAGAGGATGGGGCAACTTCCCAGGCCCATTCCCCAAATTTGCAGCTTCTGTAACCCAGTACCTCTAGGTTCACACTTTCACAAGTATTCTACCCACTTTCAGCCAGGAGAAAAGGCCTGTAGTAGCAATGCGGCTTGAGCCTCAATCTCAAAAAAACAAAAACCCTAAATATTGTGTTTGTGTAAATGGGCACACACATCAGGACATACATATGGAAGTCAGAGGAGAACTTTCAGGTGGTGTTGCTTTTTTTTTTTTTTTTTAATTTTTGGTTTTTTGAGCCAGGGTTTCTGTGTGTAGCCTTGGCTGTCCTGGACTCTCTTTGTAGGCCAGGCTAACCTCGAACTCAGAGATCCACCTGCCTCTGCCTCCAGGTGCTGGGATTACAGACGTGCGCCACCAAGACCGGCCAGGTGTTAGTTTTCTCCTTTCACTGGATTCCAGGCATCAAAGTACTAGGTTTGGGCAGTGGGAAGGCCCTTGGAACAGAGGCCTGGCACGGTCAGAGCCCACCTCACCCGGTTTAGTGATGTGAAACCTCTGTACAGAACATGAAGCTCACCAGGCGGCAGTGGCACTTGTCTTTAATCCTAGCACTATGGAGGCAAAGGTCAGCCTGGTCTCCAAACGACAGCTCTAGGACAGCCAGGGCTACATAGAGATCCTGTGTCAAAACAAAAACAAAACACACACACAAAACCCGAAGCTCCTAATAGAAACTCTCAAACCCCATCAGCAATGGTATCACCTCCCCAGTGCCTGAAGCTGTCCCCTTATTCATGCTGAAACCTTGCCTCCAAAATGATGGTGGTAAGTGGGGCTTTGGCTTCATGAAGTAATCAGTGACCTCTGAAGAGGTTCCAGAGAGCACTTACCCCTTCCTGCCAAGTAAGAAGAGGACTGAGCCAGGAAGCCCTTACCAGACATACCTGGCACACACCTTGGACTTCAAGCCCATGTCTGAACCAGCCAAGTCTAGGGCACAGCCTCAGATTTTTAAGGTTTTACCCGTCATCACATAGTGTTCATGGCACATGGGGACAGTGCAAAGCCAGGGAAGAATCCAGTGACGAGGCAAGCAGATCTCTATGAGTTTAAGGCCAGCCTGGTCTACAAAGCAAGTCCACAGGGAAACTGTCTCAAAAAAAATTATAAAAGGTATTCCTCCAGGTCTCTGGCACTGGTGCTACTCTGGAGCCTGGGATATGCAAAGTTAAGTGGAGATGGAATTTAAGAGGCCCAAGTCACTTGGAAGGCTCTATTCCAGGGCTAGAGGCTCCTCACCACTGGATGGTACAGTCCAGGCCAAGTGCCCCAGGGCTGACAGCAAACAAACAGGTCCAGGAAGGAGATGGCCACATGGCCATATCAGTTCCTCAACAAAAGCCTGTCCAGGCTCTGGGAGACAGTTCACGGCTACCCCCGTTCCATACAGCTCAAGCCCACCTGTGACCATTCCTTCTAGGAGCAGAGAAATACCCAGGCTGAGGCTTCTATAAGTGAGGCCACTGGACAGAGGATCTCAAGGTGTGAGACTAATATTCTTTTCCACATGCCATATGGGGCAGGGTCGTATCACTGTGTCCACTCCAAGGACCCAGGACCATGCCAGGACAGCTGACACCTCTACTGAATTCAGAACCCCAGGCCAACAAGAATTAAACAAGGGCAGATATCATCAGCAAGAATGATGCCTGTTTAGGACTAGGATAATTAATTTACACTGTTTAATCCCAGTCCTTGGGAGGCAGAGACAGATGGATCTCTTGAGTTCGAGGCCTACAAAGTGAGTTCCAAGACAGCCAAGGCGACAGAAAAACTGTCTTAAAAAAAAAATAAAAAGAAAGAAAGTAAAGGGGGGGGGGTAGATTAAAGGGATAGGAATAGCCAAAAGGCTATGGAAGAGCAACACCCCATCCAAAGACCCCCACAGCAGACTACTTTCCATGTATGATTCTTCTTGGAATGTTCAATTTGTAGTTCTCAGGGACTGCTTGGCCTGCCATGACGCTCCACACTGTGTGCTGGGAATGGAGGGAGGGGTGCTCCCTCTACATTAGAACTAATGCTCCAAAAGTCTTAATTCCTGGAGGCCTCCAGCGTTCCACAAGGTTCAGATAGAGGCTTGAGTGTCCCGTTGGGTAAGGACCAGCAGAAGAGGCCACAGTGAGTTGAGCTGCTGTCTCTAGGCCACCAGGACATCTAAGCATCCAAGTTTACTTCCTATAGGGAAACACAGGGTCCAGGTTCAGCACCAGCAGACAGAACTTAACAGACAAAACTGTCCAGCAGAGGGAGCCAGTCACAAAGCAGGAATCCACCCAAAACCCCTTACCAGGAACCTCACCGGCTGCCACAGAGGAAGAGCAGGTTCTGGACAGCAGGAACAGTGGAGTTGGCATTCTGGCCGGTGACCAGGTGGCGGTCTAGCACCACGTGCACAGCGTCAGGCTCACTGGCTAAGGCAAAAGTCAGAAGCCTTAGGCCCACAAGGAATAGGCCCAGTCCTACCCCCACCCATTGAGAAGCTGTGAGCACCAGGGGTCAGTAGGAGAGCCTGCCTGCCTGCATGAACCACTGACCACAGGGGTATGCAGGACCTAAGGCACCAACCCAAGGCACAGCAGGTATCCCTACCCATCTGACTGTAGGGGCACCGGCTTGGGCTCACCACTGAAGCCAGCACCAGAGTCCTTCACAAAGTCCTCAACGACCAGTGGCAGACGGGCAAAGCCAGGTGACCTGATGAGCTCGTACACAGAAGGCTGCAAGGGCAGGGCCTGAGTCAGACCAGCTGGTGGCTCTACCAGCTCAGTGCCCTATTGTCCCCAAGACCAACCCCAAGGACCAGGCACGTCAAGTCAGAGCAGCAGCCTCAGCTGCCACATGGGGGAGACAAGGACAAAGGCAAAGCTCAGTCATCTTTTGGGGGACTAAGCCACTATGGCTCAGAGTGCCTGGCTCCCTCAGCACGGAGGCATAGGTGACCAAAATGAGATGGGCTGGTATCCCCTGAAGGAGGCCCATGGTAGGTTCCATGTAAGGGGCGGAGACTCACTCCTGAGGGTTCCAGGCTAGGCTTGCCCTCTTACGCTTACACACATCACGCGGGCAAGGAGGGAAATGCTCTAGCAGCTTGGGGAATGGCAGATCACAGTGGGACTCTCCTCCTGGTTCGGGGAGGGGGAAGGAGATGGGGTGAACAGGCTTGTCCACGAGGTGCTCACCCCTGTCAGACTGTAGCCCTGGAACACCCAGGACCTGTCTTCATTGGTAGCACAGCACAGGCCAGCAACACCATGACCAATGGCACAGATGGGTTCTGAAAGGAGCCAGGTACTCTGAGGCGCTGGATGCCGGGAGGGTCCCCTCCCAAGTGTCCCCTCACCCCAGGTGGATGCTTCGAGACTAGCGTTTACTTAGAGCCCATGCTGCTCAGTGTTGAGACATGTGCAAGCATGCAGAACTCCATGTACTGCGTACCAGCCACAGCTCCAAACCGCAGAGAAGCCACGGGGATGGTACTCCCAGTGGGTATCCCCTGCAATGGGGCTACCCTGGCCCCTCCCCAAAGGCAACTTCATGGCCAGTGCATTGCCATGGCTGAGGTGGCTGGGAACAATTGCTGCCTGTCTCGGCCCAGAAGACCAGCTCTCACCAACAAAGGACGCTGTGTGGAGCCTGTCTGCATGCTGGTCTCCTATGAGCATCCTGGCCCAGCCTACACGTGGGTTTATCTATCACAACAGATGTTGCCCATTCCCATCAGGGATCCGGACAGCATCCTGACCAGCCTACCATGAAAAGGGCTAAGAGGCCATGGTCACCAGCCCTCTCTCAGCCTGAAAAGGCCCACAGTGCACAGACAGACAAGGCACACATGTTTAGTGGGATCATTCTGTTTTGTGCACATGGTCACAGAGCAAATTCATCTGTGTGCAGGTCAGAGCCCCTGTAGCTCTCCACTCCTGTCTGATGGTGGATGAAATTACCAGGCAGGCCCAGTCCTGACCACTAAGCTCTGGACCCGGCACCCACTCCATACCTCCCTTCCAAGCCCAGCCTCTAGTTCCTTGTCACCCACTGTTTTGATATTCCCTCCTTCTTCCCACCCGGGTGTCTGCCCGCCAGCCTGTTCTCCAGTTTCTTGTCACCCACTGCTCTCAGAGCGGAAGTGCTGCAGTATTCGAGCCAGGGATCCACTGTTGGCAAGGTCAGCCAGGGCACCAGGACAGCTGGGTATCAGGAGGGCATGGTACCGGGCGCCTAGGAAGAAACCACAGGTCAAATAAGGGCATGGCCAAGACAGAGACCCTCCACAGAGACCCACCAGCTATGAGATACCATTTGTCACTTTGCCAACATACCGTCTATGGACTCAAGCTTAGCAGGACTGGCATATGCCTTGAGACGAAAGTCTTGTACCCAACGTGCATTGTTCTCAGTCACATCCACAAATTCCATGGCCTTTCCCTATAGAAGCAGAGCCTATAGGTGAAGGACCTGCACTGGGATCTTCTCCCACACTTGGATGACAGAGAACTTAGAAAGGCTAGCAGACTTGAAAACAGCCCCAGGGTACAAACACCCACCTAGACAGTCTTCACTGCCTGGCTGCAGGGAGCCTCCAGTGGCTAGAGAGGGAGAAAGATCAAGTACAAGGAAGGCCCAGAGAACCAAATCCCCAGTGTTTGGGAGCCCAGCACAACTCAATGCTGAGGTCTTACCACAGGGTCACCATACCCCACTCTCCCATGGTCCCCAGCCTCTAATTATAAAGTAGCAACAACTGTCCCACACACCTTGTGACTTCAAAACATGCAACGTCACAAATACATATCCTATGTCCCCAGGGCCACAATGCAACAATCAAGAATCTCTCCAATGAGGGGCAAAAGTGCAGGACCTGCACACTAGGACCAAGTCTTATCTTTCACTTACATACCTGCAAAAATTACAGGGCACAATGGGAAAAAAAAATCTCCCTTAACACAGGCAGTCAGAGTCCAAAGAACTGGGACCATGACTTAAGGTTGCCACCAAGTCTGGTTCTAGATCCCCTTACTTGGAAGTAGCTCCCTCCTGGCCCTATCAACTACAGCGGGCTCTCTCCATTTTGCTAGCCTCAACCCAGGAAAGGAGGGGACCTTAGGGGTTCCCTGGGAGAGGGTGACTACTCACCCCCGGCGTGGCCACCTGTAGGTTGAAGGCAGTGCTGGCCAGTGTGAAGCAATGGAAGAAGGACTGGGCTGACACACCTGCAAGAGAGGGTTACAGAAAAGCGAGGGCATGACGGGGCCAGCTGGCCCACCCCTTTTCCTCAGAGACTGCTTCAGAGCTGCTGGGGGCTATCCTGGCCTCCAGAAGCAGTCCATTTCATCCACCTCAACATCTACATATTGGGGGCAGCACAGCGCCCCTTCAGGTTCAGGAATACAGCTGAGAGGACCTGCTCGGAGGTCCACAGCAAATCTATTCATTGCTTAGCCAGCTTTGGCCACTGGCCTCAGAAATACCTACAGGTGCTCACTGGTTCTTTAGCTTCTCAGAACGGGCTCTCTGCTTGACCTAATACCTCTTCCCTCAGGCCCCCCGCCTACCTTAACTGTCCACCAACACCCCTATACCCTTGGCCACATCTCACCCTTTCCCAATATAGGCAACCATTTGGCTCATGGCCTATAGAGCCAAGGTCTCCATAGCCTGGGAACAGCAGCAGTGAACATGTTATGGAGGCAAAAGCAGCAGTCAGAGACACCTAGGAGGTCCCATCTTCCTAAGAATAAAAGATTTTACCCCCCCCCCCATGTTATTCTCAGCCCTCTTCCTTCAAAAAGAAACAAAGCTTGCCCAGTCCAAAAGACTCCAGTTGGGTGATGGCAGTGCATGCCTTTAATCCCAGCACCAGGGAGGCAGCAGATCTCTGAGTTCAAGGCCAGCTTGATATACAGAGTGAGTTCCAGGACACCCAAGGCTACACAGAGAAACCCTGTCTCAAAACAACAATAACAACAAAAACCAGCGTAGCCTCCCCTCAGCTAGGGAGGAGAGCCTCAGGTCAGCTCAAGTTCAGTGAAGTCTGCTGGTTTAATAGAAGGGCACGCCTTAGCTTCATCTTTCTATCTTTGCTTCTCTTTTTGAGACAGCATCTCAAGCAGCCATTGACCCATTTATCCTTCTGCCTCCAGCTCATACATTAGCCTTTTGGTTTGTGGGTTTTGTTTTGGTTCAGTTTTTGAGTCAGGATTTTACTGTGTAGCCCTGCTGGCCTGGAATTTGCGATATAAATTCCAGACTGGCCTCAGACTCCTAGAGATCCATCTGCCTCCGCCAACTGAGTGCTGGGATTAAAGACACACACCAACACACCTAGATTCTTAATTTTTATGAGTTAATACATTTTCAGTGACCAATCCCAGATGATCCCCACCAGCTCATTTCCTCACTCCCTAACTCTCAAGAAAAGCCTACCTACTAGCAGCTACATGTAGATTTTCCCAAACCTCTCTTGCAGAGCGGAGCAGCACGCTCGGGCCCCTCCCATTTCCATCAGCGCGCTTTAATGTGGGACCCAGTTCATTAGTCCAAGATGCTGGGGTACCTCGGGCTTATGCTCACTTGGGGTCTATACAGTTTTAGAGGGAAACCCTGGGCCGCAGCCCTGGCCTCCACCACCCCTCGGTGACTATCTCCTGCCAGTCAAGTTTCCTAAGGAACGGTGAAGTAATCATCTGCCCAGGGCCCCAGAAACACACCGGGCAGGTGGAAGCCAACAGACCCCCTTCTGTGAGCGGGTCCTATCTGTGTAGCTATTTTGAGCAACGCCTTTCAGGATCGCTTCCTGGAGGTGCACGAAGATAAGCCCAAGATCGGGGGTACCGATCAGGAACCGTGGGCAGAGTACCGAGCCCCTGTGGCTGACACTGGGGCAGAGTCATCTCCGCAGCCGCTGGCCATCACTGCCTCCCGGCGCAGATAACATAGGCCTGCCCCGAGAAAATAAATGCAGCGTCCCAGGATCCCAACTCCGCAGGCACCAACGTTGGCCTGGAGTCAGAACGGCAGTCAACCGCGACACAGGGCTGCCCTGCGCGCCTCACCTTCCGGAGCGCCGCTGGCCACTAGGAGACAGGCAGGCCGGCTGGACAGCCGCTCGGACGCCATGGCTGCAGACCCGGCTAATAAGGGAGCTAGGGGCGGGGTTGGGGCGGGGCTCGCCTTCCGGAGTGGAATGCGCGTGCGCGAGGTGCAGTGGGCGGAGCTCGCCTACAGGATGCGCGGGAGAGATGGGGGTGGTGCGGAACTTGCCTGAAGAGGTGGGTGGCGGCAAGGCGTAGGGGACCGGCCTCTTGACTGTGAGGGGCGGGACCGGGACGGGGACGGGATGCGCTACGAGTCCCTGATTGATGGTTGTACTTTTGCTAGCGGACGGGACTGGCTTGTGGCCCTGGGGCGCACCTCAGTCCGAGTTGGCCACAGGGCTGCTACGCCTTAGGCCTTTGCCCGCAAGTTGAGCCTCACTAAATGTGTCCGGGAGCTAAGACCCGTCGGGCCTCCCGGGTGAAGGGCACGGAGGTGGGTCGCGTGTGGGCGGGCCTTCCTCTGTTGGTTTGGGAAGGTCCAAAGACGCCTGAGATCCTTGAGTTTTATGTGATCATGGGGGACTATGGATGTCACTTCCGGAGCTGTGTAACTCCAATGCGGGTTTGTTGTTGAGTTTCCTGGGGAAAGGCCAGATCGTTTGGGTAGGCCAACCTAAAGTGATTGTTCCTTAGGTTGTACCGCATGATTGTGGGGTTCCTGGTGGGGTCTAGGAAAAGGAGCCTGGGTCCTGTGCTGTCTGAGTGGTGATTGAAAAGGCTCAGGCCAGAAGTCAGACCACAGCTGGACCTAGTCGCAGGGAAAGCCTTCTGAATCTGTAGACTGCCCCATCCCCCAAGCCCCATCTGTTGACCTGAAGCCGAGAATTGGAAGAGGCCAAGATTGAACATGGCCAGTGTCCACATACTCACACAGCTCCACCTTTGTGCTGCCTCCAAAACCTTAAGGAATTGGAAACCGCAGAGCCAGTAATAGGCTTAAGTCTTCAGGAGAAAAGTATTTAATTTAACTCCTAGGTGTTAGAAATAAGTTTTGGGTGTTAAATAAAGAGACCACCATTCCACCTGAAGTGTCTGGACAAGGCAGATTTTACTCTCTGACTAAGAGAGTGTGCTCCAGAAAAGGATGAGCAACGCGCCAAGACAAGAAGTGCGTCTGATTTTCATCCTAACTCAGGTGGTGGCTGTGTCTCTTCCCCATAGGCTGGGGTCTGACCTCACAATCTTACTTAGCTCGGTGGTGGTGCACGCCTTTAATTCCAGCACTCTGGAGGCAGAAGCAGGCTGATCTCTGAGTTCAAGGCCAGCCTGGTCTACAAAGTGAGTCCAGGACAGCCAAGGCTATACACAGAAACCCTTAAAAGCCAAAAAAAAAAAAAAAAAAAAAAAAGGCTGACACACAAGAAAGGTAAAGGGGGGGGGGGTGGCTAGAGAGATGGCTCAGAGCTTAAGAGTACTGCTTGCTCTGCCAGAGGTCCTGAGTTCCATTCCCAGCAACCACGTGGTGGCTCACAACCATCTATAATGAGATCTGGTGCCCTCTTCTGGCTTTTAGGCATACATTCAGAACATTGTATACATAATAAAATAAATAAATCTTAAAAAAAAAAAAAAAGCTGAGCTGGAGAGGTGACTCAGAGGTTAAGAACACTGGCTGTACTTCCAAAGGACCTGGATTCAGTTCCCAGCAACTATATGGTGGCTCATAACCATCTATAATGAGATCTGGTATCCTCTTCTGGTTTGCAGGCACATGTGCAGGCAGAATGCTGTATAAATAATAAATTTTTTTTTTTTTTTTAAAAAAAGAAAACTACACTTAATTAAAAAAAAAAAAAGGGGGTGGTCGCTGTTCCAGGCTATCAAATTCTAGAATAGAGTACTAGGCCTTTGGGTAAGGAAGATTAAACATTTGTATAAAGGTCTTACAAGGTGGAGGAGATAAAAATATTTGAATTCCTCACTCTAAAAACAATAGTATTTGATAGAAAAGATTAATATTTGCCAGTTTGGTAGTGTGCCTTTAATCCCAGCTCCCAGGGTTTCTCTGTGTAGCCCTGGCTGTCCTGGAACTCACTCTGTAGACCAGGCTAGCATCTCTGAGTATGTGCTGCCACCACCCAGCTTTAGCCACCTTTCTTATACAGTCCAGGTCCACCTGACTAGAAAAGGCACCCCACAAACTGGGCTGGGCCCCTCCCACCCCTATCAATGAGCAATCAAGGAATGCTCCACAGACATGCCCACAGGCCAGGCTGATACAGGCGATTCCACAGTCCCCGGGTATGTCAGGTTGACAGCTGAAGCTAACTATGACACTTCACTCTGGGGCATCCACCCATCCCACAGTTTGCCTCCTTGAACACTGAAACTTGTTGAGCCACTGTCTGGTTCTAAGGGAGAGCTTGAGGAGGAAGCTGAAGCTCCATCCTTGACACCAGCAGCAAGACTGTTGTGTGTTCAGTCCAAGGTGTGGTGTGTATCATGCCTGACAGGTGATTCAAATAGCTGGGGGATGTGTACTTAAGCGATTCTGTGACCTGTGTTCAGAGTGGCATGTTTGTGAGCTAGCAGAATGTCTGCTTCCTGGTAGAGCCTGTGAGCATGCTCAGGATCCCCATGAAGTTCAGTATTCAGGCCTAAATAGACAGATGTTACAGACAAGCAGTGGTTGGCCAGGAGCCATGCTCGGGATGTGACATTCCTAGACCACTTTCCCTTTGTCTCCTATGCTCAGTAGGAAGGATTGGAGGTCTTAAACTCATTGGAGTCAGGCCCTAGCGTAGAGTTACCTGCCAAATTGCCTGTTGCTGAGCAACATCCTGGATCCTGTGCTCAGGTAGGTGTACTGGTACATTTGCCCCAGGGGCTTCCTGCTAAACTGTCTAGGTCATGCCCCTCCACCCAAGAGCATCCTTCAGGGCTGACATCTGGGTCTGGACACCTGGACAAGATCAGGGCTACTGTGGGGAGTGAAGGGCAGCTTTTGCCACTTGACACAGAGCACTGGAGGCCTCTGGGATGTCCCTGGGCAAACCCATGACTGCATCATGAGGGCATCTCAGTGCCCCATCCTGCCCTGTGGAGCTTTCTCTCAGTCTCCTCATGACCAAGTCAAAAGTCCTGATTGTGAGGTTTATATGCCTGAGCCCAGAATGTCATGTGACATCAGATCTGTCAGCATGTGCCCATTTGGGGGATAGGTAGGAGGGTTGAGGACTACATATGTAGGGTCTGCTTGTGTTTAGAGATCCTGAGCCATAGGAACTCTTGATATTGATGGCAAGTTGAGCAGTGAGAAAAAGGCACTCAAACCAGGCGTAGTGGTGCACGCCTGTAATCCCAGCACTCAGGAGGAAGAGGCAGAGAGATCTCTGTGAGTTCGAGGTCAGCCTGGTCTACAAAGTGAGTCCAGGACAGCCAGGGCTACACAGAGAAACCCTGTCTCAGAAGAGAGAAAGAGAGAGAAGAAAGAAAAAGAAAGAAAGAAAGAAAGAAAGAAAAAGAAAGAAAGAAAGAAAGAAAAAGAGGCCCTCAGTTCTTTTCCATCCAGAACCTGCTTCTGCTGGAATGTGAGGGTACGTAAGAAGTCATAAGAGACTTCTGCCCTGCTGGCCCGACTTGTGCTATGAGCCCTCTGCTTCCTGTCACTCCTGCCTCTGTGATTTCTGTTTCAGAGCAGCCCTGAACCATTTCCTGGTCAGCTGTGCACATCTGGGGACTCCTTTCTAACAAAACTCCCAACCATCTTAAAGCTTGGGGTATGAGCTGCAGCGTGTACCCAGTGAGAACTGCCTTTGGGAGAACACCCTCCCATGGATGTTGCCCTGAGTGCCCTGTGTTAGTTCAGGTGACCTTCAAGAGGACCTTGGATATGAGGACTGAGTGTTTGGGGTTCATAAGGGTTTTTTGGGGTTTGGGGAAGGGTTCACAGACAATTCTTGCCATGTAAACATTCTTCAGCATAGAGGGCAAAGAGCTGCCTAAAGATGAGAGGCGCCCTCGAGTGGCCTTCAAGACCCGGATGAAGCCCTTTCCCATTAAGGCTCAGGTGGGGTTCTTCTGGACCAAGTGGGTGAAGTCTGGAGTCATGCAAACCATACCAATCTACGCGGAACACAGCCAGCAGCCTCACTGTCAGGAATGGGGTTGTGAAGGTTCCCTCACCTAAGGTGGGTCTTTTGCAATGTTGGTGAGAATGCTAAAGCAGCTGGCTAGCCAAAAAACGTCTAATCTGTGGACAGGTGATGGCACTGTGGCCTTAAGTGGGATGATGTCGGCGGGAAGCAGGCCCAAAGGTTCCCTGTGAGTAACAAGGAAGGGGTAGACAGAGGACACAGACACCCCTAGATCTGTGGAGCTGTAGTGGGCAGATGAGAAGCCTTAGCAGAGGGATGTACCCTCTCTTGCTGAACAATTTATCTAGCCTGGGGACAGAGCCACCTCATCTGCCCTCAGAGGATTTAACTGCACTGTGTCCTTTTTTCTTGAAATTGTAAGGCCAACAAATAAAATCAGTCACTGTGAAGAAGCAAAGAAGGTTCTGTTCTTGGCCAAAGAATAAGAGAAGCCTGAATAGAACTCAAATCCACTCCTCAACCAAGGCAGCTGGCGGGCATAGATATGGCTCAGGTGGAATACAGGGAGGCTAGTGGAAGAGATTATCTAGGCATGGGAAGAGATGTCTATCTCCCCACCCTGCTATATTTTTTCCCCTTTTTACTGTGTCCCAGACTGAGTACTAGAATTGGGATTACAGGTGAGAATCTTTTCTAAGAATTGGCTGCTGTTTCTCTCAGATGCTCTAACAGTCTTTTCCAGCCATTGTCATGGTGCTTGTCATGCATCACAGCATTAAAGGGCAGGGCCTTTACTGAGGATATACAAGGCAATTACAGGGGAACAAGTGGAAAGGTGAGTGGCTGGTTAATATACCTCAACTGAAGTAGAAGCCTCACTGGTCTGCTTTTATCTCCTGCTGTTCCTGAGGGCTGAGTGGGCAGCAGGCCAACTTCCTTATTTCTAGGATGCAGAAAGCATGTCCTGGAAGCCACTGCAGAAAGTACCAACGGGAAGGTGCA